CTGCATCTATCTAGATAATCTATTTCTGAATGTACCAGTAGCTCAGTGCCTCCTGGCGATGGGTATTTACTATATAAGAACTACACGAAAAAAGGCCGCAGGCGTGTCTGTACAACTTCAGCATTATCTTAACAATAATAGTGAGCTTCTCTAGGATTCTACGATAGCACAGTCATTGATAACAACACTCTAGCCTTTATTTGACAAGATAATAAGGCTATTTATGCTCTTACGACTACTCATAGCCTCCACCACACAGAAGATCGATACTGCACAGAAGATCGAATTCAACAAACGCGCAAATGCCTTAAAATCTCCTCTGAAAATCGATGTATCCTTGACCCTGTATTCAAGGGCTTACCCTCTTTAAGAATCTCTTCATATCAAGAGCTATTAATGATTATAACCACTATATAAAGAGCGTAGATCAAGCGGATCAGCTGCGCGCAGCATTTACTTGTCATCGCAAGCAGAGTTATCGTACGCAAATGCCCTTGATCTACTTCCTCATTAACGTTGCCCGTGTTAACGCGTATTTGCTATAACTATAGAGCTCTACTACGCACACAGCAACTGCGAAACGTACGCATAACACTCATAAAGAGTTTGTGGAGGCCCTCTTTCGTGGGGCTTGTCCTCTTTTAGTAATGACGACCCTGACCTCGCTTCGATATTCCTACTATCCGATCGCATCAGTGTCCTTCTATGTACTCCAAAACTGGTAATGGTGCTGAAATGGGCGGGGGAAGACCGAAAGCGCATGCGAAGGCGGGCCATACCACAATGTGCCCATCACCATCCAAGCTGGGTGTTTGCCTGGCTTTGGATTCTGATCCTGGCAACCTGCCTTGATGTTGCACAATGCATGACGCAGAGAGAGAAAACAGATCTCAAGTAAGTGATTTGCGCCTACGAGCAGGTTTCACCGTTTGACTTATGTGCCACCGACAGAACTGAAGCAGAAGATTTATTCTACCATGGATACAACAGCTACATGAAATATGCTTTCCCCGAGGATGAGCTTCGACCTGTGTCTTGCACGCCTCTTACACGCGACCGGGCCAACCCGGCGCATATAGAAGTCAATGATGTCCTTGGAAACTACTCACTCACCCTCGTGGATAGCCTGTCGACCTTGGCCATTCTTGCATCAGAACCGTCATCTGGTAGAACAAACAGACACCTCGAGGCTTTTCAGAACAGTGTAAAAGAGCTGGTCATTCAGTACGGTGATGGCACGGATGGGCCTGCGGGCCAAGGTCTGCGGGAAAGAGGCTTCAACCTGGACAGCAAAGTCCAGGTATTTGAGACTGTTATTCGTGGATTAGGAGGACTGTTGAGTGCTCACTTGTTCGCTGTTGGCGACTTACCAATTCGAGGGTACAACCCGCCAAGGGGAGGCGCTATATTTGCCAGGAAATGGGACAAGAGTTCTGCAGAAAGTCATGAGTCTGGCATTAAATGGCCCAATGGAATGATATACGACGGCCAGCTCCTTCGTCTAGCCTACGATCTCGGTAATCGACTGATACCTGCCTTCTACACATCGACCGGCATCCCTTATCCACGAGTAAATCTTCGTGATGGCGTGCCCTTCTACGAGAAGTCGCCTCTCAACTTCGACCCGGGAGTAGGACAATGTGATGCTGGCCAGAAGGGTACGCCCGAGATTACGGAGACATGCAGTGCTGGTGCAGGGAGCCTTGTGCTGGAGATGACGGTACTGAGCCGACTCACGGCTGATGATCGTTTCGAGGAGCTTGCGAAAAGAGCATTTTGGGCGATCTGGAACAGAAGAAGTGCCATTGGTTTGATTGGAACAGGCATCGATGCCGAAAATGGCAATTGGGTGGGATCATATTCAGGTATAGGTGCGGGCATTGACAGCTTTTTTGAATATGCTTTCAAGTCGTATATTCTTCTTTCCAATAACGTCCATCCCGAGTATAGAGTGCCAAAGCATGTGAAGGACCCTCGGGAGCTGTTCCCGGCCCTGGCTGCTGAAGAGGCGTCACCAGCAGGCTTCCTTCGGGTATGGTCTGAAGCCCATTCTGCCTTGAAGAGACATCTTTACCGCGGAAAGACCTATCATCATCCACACTATATTCAAGGCGATCTCCATACAGGAGCGACAAGAGCTTACTGGATTGACAGTCTAAGCTCTTTTTACCCTGGTCTCCTCACTCTGGCTGGAGAGGTTGATGAAGCAATCGAAATACAGCTTCTTACCACGGCATTGTGGACAAGGTTTTCAGCTCTTCCAGAAAGGTGGAACCTGGGTACTGGTTCCATCGAGGGAGGGCTTGGTTGGTGGGGAGGCCGTCCAGAATTTATCGAGTCCAATTATTACCTCTATCAGGCCACACGTGATCCGTGGTACCTGCATGTAGCCGAGATGACCTTGCGCGATATCAAAAGAAGGTGCTGGACTCGTTGCGGCTGGGCTGGTATCCAGGATGTCAGGACTGGCGAGCTGAGCGATCGGATGGAAAGTTTCTTTCTCAGCGAAACAGCAAAATATCTCTTTCTACTTTTTGACGAAAGTCACCCACTCAACCAACTGGATGGCCCATTTGTCTTCAATACTGAAGGTCATCCGTTGATTATTCCCCCGAACGTTGGGGCTCGAAGACGATTGAGGTCGACCTCGGAAGGCGACGTCTTGAAGCAGCAAGGTGGCTTTGCAGTGTGCCCTCGAGCACCGCCATCCTTACCCTTCAGCGCTTCAGTCACGGCTGCGCGCAATGATGTCTTCCACGCAGCGGTCCTAGCCCGTCTACATCTCATGCCCAGTCGTGGGTCTACTGATTCATTCATTGGCGAATATGCAGTTGACCACCCTAGCATTTCGCTTCAAGATGTCCGGTCCCCTTCCAACTACACCTACTTTCCATGGACATTGCCACCAGAACTTGTCTCTCACAATGCCACCAGTGCTCCTTTGATGTCTCGGCCAAGCTTCGATATATCCTTCCCGGCTCTGCCGAACATGGGCACGCCTGTTGCGCCACTCCAGCGAGTCAAGGAAGGTATCCTGATCAATCACATCGGAGGTCTTCGTCTCGGAATGGTGCAAGATGTGCCTATCCTCGTGAATGGAGCTTCTGGGGAAGCCTACAGGATCAATCTTGTCAATAATTTAGCTTTGGGTAAAGACGAGAAGGTATTTCTACCCCGCGACACGACATCTGGGGTGCTGAATCCAACAGACCCAAACTTTACACGTCTTCGGGATGTAGGGATGCTCGACTTGGTCGTTGATCTAGACATTCCGAGCGACGAAACCAACGGGACGGAAGCAGCAGACTTGAACGACGTCTTGCCCCAGATACCGATGCCTGTATCGGTCAAATCTGCTCTCAGCTCGCTCATGGCCCAGCTCACCGCTTTGATCCACGACGATCGACCAAGTGTATTTTCCCACTCATCTCAAGCCGACCTTGGCCCCGATAGTTCCCGGTTTTACATCCCAGCAATCACAGCAACAGGCTTAGGCGCGGCACCGATTCCTGACTGGAATGAAGCGCCCTCTCCGACTACCTCCAACCTCCCCAGACGACCGCTCGACTGGACGACCATCTACGCCACCGACCAGCTCTGCGACCACAGAATCCCCCTCTCCATCGTCAAGACGCATCAGATCCTCCTGGTCAAACGAGGCAACTGCGCCTTCAGCACCAAGCTCGCAAACGTTCCCGCATTCGCGCCTAGCCCGACATCACTACAGCTCGTCGTGGTCGTCTCCTACGAACCACCACCCGAAGAAAACATGCCGGAGGAGGAATGGCTGATACGGCCGCTGCTGGAGGAGCAGCAGATGACCAGCGGCGGGCTGGTGAGGCGGAATCCATTACCGATGGTTATGGTGGGGGGTGGGGAGAGGACGTATGAGGCGTTGAGGAGGGCTGTCGGGATCGGGGTGAAGAGGAGATATACGATGGAGGCGCAGGGGATTGGGATTGCGAATTTGATCATCGTGTAACAGTATTCATTCATTCATTCTTCATCTGGTTGCTTGATGCAAGGAGCATGCGCCTCCGATCCCCACGGCCGTATAAAATTTGTACTATAACGTTGGATCCAAAGTCTGCACAGCTAGTGACATATTCCTGTTGCGTTATGAGCAGTACAAGGTTTACCTCTGGGAACAATTTCAATCTGCCATCGATTACCAGCGATCTGCTGCATACACCAAGAAGAAGAAAAAAAACCACAACTTGCCGCGATCGACCAGAACATTGAACATGACGCTTCGTAATAGTTGGTGAAAGTACAGGAAGAGTTTAGCATGGCCTGAAAAGCAATTCTGAAGGCCTCTCCATCCGGATGGCGAAATCTGGTCATCCTCCACGCCAGCCCGTAACAGCAAATCAACGTCAGCCACTCTTCTTTGAAGTAATCCAACTCGAGTGCCTCCCCATTCATGAGACCATGCACGTAGCATTCATCGATGAGGTAATATGTTTCTTCCTGTTCACGAAGGACGAGCGGTTTTGTGGCTCCACGCACGATACATATCCAATCGCCTTCGCAAATGTCCTCTGGAAACATTCCCATGTACCCATTCTCCGTGATACAGAAACGTTTTCCGGGCATTATATTACGGAGGTATGTTTCTTGTATTTCGCTCAAGCTTCCTCCAGGTTCCCGAAAGATAGTCGTGTATATCTCTCCAAAGCGTTCAGGTTTCTCCCTTGATTTCCGCCCGAGGGCTTCCCAATAGTCTGTAATAAGGGTTCGACAATAAGCTTCGAAGACATCCTCTCTAGTAGAATACATGTCCAAACTTTTGATAATCTCCTGGCATTTACCCGTAAAATCGGTGAAATCTTGAATTGTGTTAGGTTCTGGAAGAGCATTACTAAGCACTTTAACCTTAGTTAACAGGGCTCCATTAACCTGAACTGTGCTTAAGTTAGCCGACGTCAAGATAGATTGTCCCATATCCCGGGCTGGCCCACCAGCGCGATATCCGAGACGAGGAAGAGAGGGCTTAGCTATGCTCCAGTCTGGGACCCACGACGGTAAGTTAAGTGATGATGCTTGAGCCATTCCGGCATGATTTAGTAGATAAATATCGCCTGCTTCCAAGGCAGTCCTTGCGAACTTCTGGTAAACAGAGCGGACATCGCTGGAGTAATCCACCCCTATCTTTTCGCAAACGTCATCTCTACATAAGCTAAAGAAGCCGTATATCTTGTCTCTTGGATCGGTTGCTTCCGCAGCGCGATAAGTGCTGACTACTACAGCCAGTCGGTACATCTGGACGTCATCCTGTTTTCTTCTCATCACCGCCAGACTATAAAGCATAGCTCTTACGGAATACATGACCTTCTATTCGTTAGGTGGGAAGGTATATATTCCATACAGCACAAGGTTATTAAAGCAAGAAATAACAAGTATGAAGAGCTGACTCCACGTAACTGTCCTAGTTCCACAATACACAATGGTTTCTGAAGCGAGGAATACCTCTTGAATCACCCATAGCCGCCTAAACCACGAACGTCGGAGGATGCCCAAGGTAGGCTCAATAACGTCAATGGGTATGTCTTCTAGAACAGCTGACTCTCCTTCGTGTAATAGTAGCTTTCAAGACTGGCGGCATCATGTAGCGTAGCAGCATAATCAAATGCTTCATCACTTTGCTCTGCTGCCTCGCCAAGATCGATGATCACGCGCTGTGCATACCAATAAATAACCCCCATCAAGCTCACCTGCTGACCACGCTCTAGAGGGTCTGCAAGATTGATACAAATCTGATCGATCCACATGCAACGGTTCCGGTCCTCAAAACGAAGCCTCTGTAACGCTGAGTACACAGTTCTGTGATACAGATCTTGGTGGTTGTTTCTCCGCGAACCAGAATTTCGTGCGAGAGACCACCGGTACCCCACACATATGACAGTGCTTCGTAGTCTGGCTTGCCCACGATGAGGTCAAAGGTATTCAGGAGCTGGGCGGTAGTTATTTCGCATATCAGTGGCGCACCTTTTGGGCCAGGGAGAATGTTGACAAGATTTATCTCAAATTTGCCTTCGACAGCGTCCTCTTCAGCTAATGGCTTGTAAAGGTACGGCGGAATATCGAGGTCAGCCAGTGAAGCCCGAGGGACGGATGCCATTTCCGCCACTGTTCGGATGGGTAGCAGATTGAGTGCGTATAAGACAAGTTGACGGTTGGAAACGGAAAGAGAAGAGTCTTTCGTGCTGTTTCCCTGAACGTTGCTGGTAATGGTGACCTATCAATTTCTCTTAGATGTTGGAAGCTTTAGTAATCAGGAGAGTGAAATTCAAGAACGTTACAGATTGACAACCAGAATGAAATGATACATCGCAAGAGAAGTGATAGAGAGCATTGTCAGGTGTATACTCTTGTTCTGTTTGACCTCTTGAGTGTTGTAGTGGTGGTTAGTATCCCATGCAGCTATTATGTAGGACTTCCCCGCTTGGCTTAACTAAATTGTAATGCTTATCACACACTAGCATGCTGCCTTAGAGTGCTTGACACGATATTTGGAAGGTTACGGAGAGAGAGGGAATATTCCTCACATCCTACAGATTTCTTCTATCTTAGGAAAAAATCTGTTTGACCTATTACAACAGAAGCTGTTGCAATTCCAAATTTCATGATCGACGGCGCCAATTGAGGCATTCTCTCCCTCTGTCTACGCGCGGATGGGATAGCTGTTCATCTGTAGCTCGAGCATTACGCCTCTGGAGCGTAGTGGGCGATTCAATCAGAGGACGCAAGCAAATAAGTTCTAATCCAGACATCCAGAGTGAAAGGTGTAAATGAGATTAATAGAGCGATAACTCATATTGGTTAGCTAGGGATACTTGAGATCAAAAGACACAGAACCACAAAGTCCTCTCCGAATCCATTGTGTATTTCTGCCAGATGTCACTTCCTTAGAAGCAGAGTGTGTAAGAGAGCCTGTCAAGTCGTGTGTGTGCCGGATGTACTCCCTATCACTGTACATTTATTTCAAGGACCACACCACGTTGTGTACTTTGGGGCCAAACCCAACCTCCATGCATCATTTAGCTGACCAGTGGTCTCAGAGCAGGCCCACAGTAACCGAGGGAGGAGGGAACCACCTCAAGTTTGGAAGCACACCCATCAACTGTCTTGCAGTCAACCTCCAGAATCTAAGTAGGCGCCGGTCAAACACGTGCCTCGCTCCATGGCCATCAATGAACAGCTCAGTCTTGGCTAGGTCTCTGATGACTTGCTGAGATCGAGCAAGGTGGTATTCGATGCGCTGTAGCTGATTGTCCATTTGAAGTACCCCTGGATTTGCGGTCCGGTCTACATGAATCAAAGCGAATAGTAATCTAGAGCAGCAACGTGAAGATCAGAATGAACTTTGATGGAGTGAGCTTCGTGATGACTTCGGTATGCGGCTCGCACTTTGAACGCTTTACCACGGAGCTCATAAGCTCGCACACGATAGTCGTTGTACATACCGGGAAAGCCGAGCAGTGCTCTGTTCGCTGCCTGCACAGCTTCTTCAATGAGTTGTTCCGAGAGGCCGATGAAATGCTCATCTGAACATCCCGACGTGAAGACTAAGATCGTGGCACACTTTTTGTAGCAAAACCCGGTGTCTATGCGAATGCAGGCATTCCGAAATCTTGGATCCGCCACAAGCGAGTCTCGAGCACTCTGCACAATAAATTCGGAGGTCGGTGAATAGCTTCTTCGCGCATGCTGTTGGCTACTGCTGCTTCTGCGTGATCTCTCAATCATCTGAGGTGCTCGAATACATCCTTCCATGTTCGATGGTTTGTCATCATTCGTCGCTGCAACTGCTGTGCCTGCTGTACATCTGGGAACCCGATACAAGCAGCACGTCGAAGACCTCTTATGTTGGAAAGTCCAGAAATTATGCTCCGTATAATGAGAGCATCACGTGAAGTATGAGGCATATTCAAGATCACTGTCAGGTCCTTGTTTATGGCAGCGCATTGCCACAACCTCAGACAGAGATAGGTAAGACCTTGACGGTTGTACATGAGGAGAAATTGCACTGACGTGTAATGGCGTTGAATAGGCAGTATGTCACGACCTCCATAAGCCATACCGATTACGATCACTATACTCCCCCCCGCACGAATAGTCGTAAATCACCCATCCAAGCGCGAGGTATTAGAGCTTGGTTGCTAAGAAGTTCCCGGTAGGGCAGAGTGTGCAGATCACCATCGCGGCTGTTCACCTCTACCATGACCCAGGTATTTTGGTTTCTGATGGTCTCCATTGCTTCCTCTCGTACCTGCTTGTTGATATAGAGTATAGCGGTGTTGGGCAAAACACAAAACTCTTTATCATGCTCGATTGGAGAGGGGTGCGGATCCACCATCAAGAGCATACCGTAGATGATTTTTCGGAGCTCTGTTTGTAGCCTCAGAGAAGGAGATCTGTCTGAAGTCACAGGGCTTGGGATAGGAGCCGATGGAGGACTCTGCAGAGACTGTGGCAGAGAAGTGGGTGAAGGTGGAGCATTGTCGGTAGGTATAGCCTGGGAAATATTCGGCCTCACGAACGTCTGGCTGAGGTCCTTTTCGGCTTTGGATTGATCTGCTCCATCTGTGGCCATAATGGAACAAGAAGCACTTGTATCAAGGTCTTTCTGACTGCTTAACTAGGGAGCATGGCGGCCTCCGCGATGGAAAGAAGATAAGGCACCTTATGTATAGATGTTGCCATAGTAGCCGTGCATTGAGCTTGAGCATTCCAATAATTTCCAGTTGCAACCAGGTGGGCAAGACCTTTTCTTTTATTCTCTTTGATTTGTCCAAAGTAGCTGCAGACTGAAAGGATAGGAAAGTAGATGAGCCTTCGAGCCCAATTATGGAAGAGCGCATTTGTAATGCTCTTACACTTGCATGATTTTGGACACACAGTAAGCTATCAAGAGCAAGGAGACTTGTAAATAGAATACCTGATGTATTTCCTGGGCACAGGTAAAAACGCAACCGTAGCAAAGAATCGCCAATAGCACTGGATTGAAGCAATCAAAATCCCATGCTAAGAGAGCATGATAACGCCCAAGAGGATACTGTGAGATGATAGGGTCGTGGACGAAGTTCCGTTCTGACTGGCACAAAGAATGTGCTGTCAGCAGTATTCATCTTGATAAGGGCATTTTTCCAGCTTCTCGGAAATGTCTTTTCCTCTACCCGTGATCAGCCGAGCGACCAGTACATGCGTATGCGTATGTGAGATGAACGCTATAATAGGAGATAAGGCTTGCGATGTGGTGGACCCGTGCTGTTACTTTCAATACTTAGAAAGCGGAGTCAATGAGCCAGCACAAACAGTAGATGCATTACGTAATGAATTCACGCAACAAAGGTACAAACAGGATTCAAGTTTGCGGTCAACTCTTTACAGCAAGGACGACCAGATGTACGTGTTCAGGGTACAGCAAGAAGCAAGGAGCAGAGAAGAAGAGAAGTGACTGCATTTGTAGAACTGATAGTGCATGAAGCGGTAGCCTGGGGAGACTCTGGGCTGAAACAGAACAACCAAATGACTTTGACAGTAACATCATTTTCAAACAGACATCGAGACCAGGACGATGCTGGCGAAAACAAAAGCTGAAGCACCAGCAAAGGATAGGTGCTGGAGAATCGCGCTCTCGGGATACGACACTCGATCGTTGGCTAGTAAGACTCTCTAAGCTAGCTCTGATAGGGACACCAGGCTTTTGAAATTTGAGGTCCAAAATGAAGTTTGATGGGAGATCTACTCCCCAAGATGAGTCTCACGTTCTGTTAGCACGTGCCAAGATATATAGAGCTAAGACAAAATTAGAACAACGCTTAGCTGTTTTCGGCTGAAGACACCTTTGACCTTGCAAGTTATTCAAAATTGTACAGATCGCCTCAGAGCCCAGGTGCCTGATACAGACTTTGATTATGACCGTATTCTAGGCCGTCTCCGGACGGCGACCTTCAAAATGTCCGGCACCGACTACAACTACGATGACAACGGCCAGTTCTTCCCTTTCTTCGTTCTCACCCTGACTGGTCTGGTCACTCTTCCGCTCACCTACAACATCCTGAAGAAGAACGAGGATATCGAGAACACTGCGCCGCGAATACAATCCGATTTCAAGCCCAAGCATGACGACCTCATCCAAGCGCAAAGACGGGCGCAGAAAAGGAAGGAATTCAAGACGAAGAGAACGATTGCGGTGATACTGGGATACTTGATCATGGCATGGATGGTGTACAAGATCATTGTGACAAAGAGGATCATGCCGAAGATCTGGGATCCATATGAAATACTGGGGCTCTCAAGAGTATGTGTGGTGACGAGGGTGGGTGTGCGACAATGCTAATGGTCTTACTAGAGTACCAGCGAACAGGCTATCAAGAAACATAAGAGATTATCATCATTGAAATACCATCCTGACAAAGTACGACCGGATGCCTCGAAGAATGAAACGGTGGAGACTCTTAATGACCGATGGGTGGAAATGTCCAAAGCATACAGTGCACTTCTGGATGAAGAAGTGCGAAATAACTGGATCCAGTATGGACATCCAGATGGGAAGCAAAGCTTCAGCATTGGTATTGCCTTGCCAAAATTGATGATTTCTGAGGGCAATGGCAAATATGTCCTTCTGTTTTATGCCCTCATCCTAGGGGTGGCATTGCCGTACGTTGTAGGCAAATGGTGGTATGGAACCCAGGCTTTGACCAAGGACGGAGTCATCATTGCCAGTGCAGGCAAGATTTTCAAAGAGTACAAGGAAGAGATCACGATTGGTGGTGTCGTAGCGGCCACAAGCACAGGAGAAGAATTCCAGCAATTGCTGAAGGGTTCTAGGAGTGACGCCGGCCTGAGCAAGGTTGAGAAAAGCATTTTTGCACCAGAAGCCGGCCTTTCAGAGCAAGACCTCTCGCGGCTCAAAGAGATCGAAGACCCTTTGCGCCGGAAAGTCCTAGCCTTACTATGGGCATACCTTGCGCGGGTCGACCTGGGCGATGATACTCTCGAAAGTGAAAAATACGCTGTTGCGCCAATCGCGTTTCTCCTCAATGATTCATTTACATCCATTGCCCTCGCCTTCAGCGTCGTCGCGCCACTCCTCGCATCGTACCACGCATCGCAGCACATTATCCAAGCACTTCTGCCCGACGCTTCCCCCCTCCTCCAACTACCGCATTTCACTCCGAAAACGGTACAGGCTATCGAAGGCGCAGACGCCAAATCGCACATGTCTCTGCAGAAGTTCATGTCACTTCCTCAATCATCACGACGAAGACTTGTCGCTGACATGTCAGATTCGCAATATGCCAGTGCGATGCAAGTGGCTCGGCAAATGCCCAACTTTGTGGTTGCAAAAGCTTTCTTCAAAGTGATTGGCGACAAAGTCATCACGCCTTCCGCTCTGGTTCAGTTAGTCGTCAAGGGCCGCATCATCCCGCCAGGTATACAGCATGTGCCTGAAGTAAATGAAGCCGACCTCGAAGACATCGACCCAGAAGAGGGCGACCTAGACGCCCTTCTGGGCCGCAAATCCGCCAAAAGCAGAAGAAAGAAGCCAATCATCGACGAACCAACAGCTGGTTTCAACAACAAAGAAAACTCGATCCAACCCCCTCTCGCACACGCCCCCTACTTCGCCCGCAACCACTCGCCCCGCTGGCGCGTCTTCCTCACCGACGCCCGCGCAGGCCGCATCGGCGTGCCCCCTTTCACCTTCACCGAATTTGACAAACCCATCTTCAACGCTGCGGACAATACACCCACCTTCAACATGCAGACCTTCAAATGCCAATTCCAGGCGCCCCCTCAGGTCGGGCAGTTCGCATTCAAGATGCATCTCATCTGCGACAGCTACGTCGGGCTGGATTCCACGGTGGATGTCATCTTGGACGTGCAGGATATGAGTAAGGCGGCGGTGGTGGAGAGCGAGGACGAGATCAGCGAGCCGGATGAGGATACGTTGGCGGGCCAGATGCAGGCGATGAAGGGTGGTGGCGCGGCGGGCAAGAGGAAGAAGAAGAAGGCGGTGAAGGCTGATGAGGAGGAGGAAGAAGAAGAAGAAGAAGAAGAAGAGGATGAGGATGAGGAGGAGAGTGATACGGATGGGGAGGTGGAGGAGGTCAGTGATACGGATACGGAGACGGATGAGGAGTGAATTGTTGTGCTGTGTATAAAGGGAAGTGGCATGGTAGCTTGTGTATGTATGTGTTCAATCCTTACGTTGATGAGCTGCACGTTGCATTCTTTTCTCCTTTCTGCATGGTATGATATTTGAGGCATCACTTTGACTCCAAACGAAGTGTCTGTAAGTAGTTGTGCAGCCTCGAATGCTGAGTTGCTGATCAAGACCAGGATAGATAAATATATATACATCTATCTATCCTACCTGAAGGAACCAATGCCCACCACCCGGCCTCCACCCAGCCTGCACCTCGACAATCTCCACGACACTTCAACACCGATATCAGATATCACACCCATGCCATGCTGATTTAAGTGCCTATCCTCCCCAGAACATCAACCCAAGCTCCCTCCCTACCCTTAGGCTGCCTCACCCCTCCCCCTGCTCCTCCTCCCTCCTCTCCTTCAGCATCCCGATCCCGATCGAAAAACCCCTTCCCCTCCTCCACCCAATCCATCAACGCCTCCTCACTCC